GGAGGAGGGGCTAACACATTTCAAAGGTTCTGATTGGCTCTAAACACCTGCTGCCAATTTTTACACTTAATGGTGATGGACTATTGTTTTCCCTTTTTAAAAAGTGTGTATGTATACGTATCCTATCACTAAATGATGAACTAATTATGTAATGAATCTTTACTGTTTGGTGAAGTTTTCATCAACGTATTGTGTAATTACTTGTTAGGCAACGACACTGCAGTTACTGAACAAGCAGCCGGTTAAGGAACCTGCAGAAAGCGGCAGTGAACATGAAGAGGAGGACACAGAAGAAACTGAAGTTCCCAGACAGGTTATCGTGTCCGAGCAGGAGAAGCCAAGTTCACATGTGACTGTAGTTTTGGCTGATGAGCATCGGCAGAGACTAGAGCAACGAGAATATGCTGATCAAAGTATGGAAAAGACACAAAGTCAGGGAATGCATGTTGTGGATAACGATCTGAGCAAAGATAAGCCCTCGGATACCAAACCTTTTCCCTCGGTCTTGGTGGAAAATGAAAGTGAGGTGGAGGTGATTCAGGAAGTGATGGATCCATCTTCTGCTTTGGTTCATATGGTATCCAGTGACATGCCAGAGTCCAGCTCTGACTCCTATATAGAGAATGAGCCTGGTGAGGGCACAGGAGAATCTCTACAAGAAGGGAAGGAAATCAACGGAATCATTAGTTCCCCAGTTCCAGAAGTATTAAGACAAGACCTATCCAATGAGAACAAAACTATTCGCAAAGAAGCGCTATCTGTTCCCTCCACGGTCCCTGAAACAGAAATATTTAAAGATGGAAGGCAAGATGGTCCACCTCTGCTAGAAAGTGATGAGGACAATAGCAGCCCCATACCTCCAACAGAAGATACCTCAAGTTCTATGTCTGGCATCGCAGCAAAGGGTGGTCCCGGGCAGCCACAGTCAAAGACCCATAAAACCCCTCTCAGGTCAGATCTATTCCAACAAGTCTAAATCGATTGCAAAATCTCTATGAACCTGTGTAGAGGCTTCCAGTGAGCCAGGTGTTGGGGGGTGGGGGAATCCTATGTGAGTGCACGTAATTTAATTATTGGTTCATTTAGATGGCCACCTGTACTGCACCAGGTTAAAACCTTCAGTTATGATAAAACAATAAACCAAAGTGGCCAGTTAATTTGTGCTAATGTTCTCGGCAGCTGATCTTTAAACAAACTCCATTAATCCCCAATGGATCTGCGGTGACTGCTGCCATTTCTGTCTGGAAGTGATGGTGGATGTGGGGGTTCTGTGTGCATCATAGTTTAAAACTAACTTGTAATCCTTGTCTTACAGCCTGGATGACTCAGATGAAGAAGATTTATTTAAACTTGCTTCTCCCAGAGCCCAGAAACTGAAGCAGGAAGATGAAGAAGATGAAGAAGTGGTAAATTGTCGTATTCCCTATAATGAAAGGTTCTGAAAGATACCCACTGAACTCAAAATGTATTAATAGGACAAATTAGAGATAATGTGTGTAAACAGGCTAACAAACATTAAGGGATTAAAAAGGCCAATAAAAGATCCCATATTTGCTGTACATACCCAGTAAGCTCTCCAGAGTCCAGGAAGTGGCTGAAAGATTTCAGCTAGTCCCAGGCCTCATCCTGTCTTCAGCTGGATGGCTGAACCTAATCTCCTAATTTTGGTGTACTGGGAACCTCCCAAGTTGTACGTTGTGTGCAATTCTGTATTTATTTTTTCTGTATTTCTAATTCTGTAGGACTTTTGTTACATAACAGAGTGTGGGTATTGGTTTCAGTGCTGTTTCGGAATCCTTAGTGTTTGTTTTGTGTTCTGTTGGGGAAGGGGTTATTGCATTTATACAAGTTTAGAACCTTTTAACAGATTATAAGAAAAACATGCATATTGAGTAATGCAAATCTAACCATTGAAAAGCTAGCTGGTTGATATATAGTAACACTGCTGCATAGTGAGGAAATCTGATTAAATGATGGCTCCGACCTGTACTGGAGCTTATTGTTTTTTTTTATGTTTGCTGTGGAAATGAAGGTCTGAGTTGTTGAATAAGCTGGGATTTGGAAGGAGTTGATTGGAGGACTTGTGACTGTTCTAGGAGGCGAGCAAAGAGGGGGTCGAACATTTCTCACAGAGGACATGATGTAGAGAGAAATGATCTCACCTTGATTCAATCTTCCTTTTTATTTTATTTTTATTTTTAGAGTCTAAAAGGACGCCCTCCTCCGGCTCCTCTCTTCGGAGATGAAGATGATGACGATGATGATCTGGGCTGGTAGAGTTTTCTCTTCTTGACCTAAATCTGTTCAGAAAAATATTTTGAGGTTATTCCTCCACTTTTACTTCTCCAGCCACCCTGGAGCTCGGACAGCGAGGAATTCATAGCGTGGGCTGGGAAAGGCCAAGAATGCAGGGTATGCTGATGACCGCTCCCACTTCTCCACTGTGTGTTTCTGAGCCACACATCTGTCGGTCGGTCTGTCTTTTTATAGTGGCAATAAACCATGTTGTAGTATAAAATGTCCTCCGCGCTGTTTGTTACCGATCCTGAGATTGGCGCCATGTGTCACCGGAACCAGCTGGGAGTAGAAACCACGTCCGGCACTGGGGACTTACTGCCTGTTCGGCTTCAATTTACCAAGATGTTTATTGACAAACTGTGTGTCGTGCTTATTTCTATAATTTGTTTCTTTACTAACAAACTACTTACTCAGAAGTATACTTTTTTTTCTTTCTTAACAGGTTTTATTTGTGTGTTTGTTTTTTCGCCACCCTTACCCATAGATTTAGGTTAACTGCAAATAGACAGCCTACCTATGCTGGAAAACTCACACTAAATTTGGGTTCGGGGAGGAATACAACTATAGTACAAAAGAACATTTTTGGGGAAAAAAATATTCTTTAACAAGAAAGTCATATAGTTGTTTTTCAAGTCACTGTTTAGTAAATAAACCAAAAGTACATTTTAAATTGTTCACTAAAATAGCCAAGCTGAAAAGATAACTGGTTTGGGAGAGCGGGTATTACTCCACTTCAGCTGTCTCAAACGGCCGTTAGAGGTGCTTCCTGGGTCTGTACAGCACTGACATTCAGCGTCTCCACGCTCTGCATGGAGACGCTAAACATTCCCCGTAGAGATGCATTGATTCATCAGAATTGCCAATCTCAGCCAACCTAATGCTTTCATATGGGATTGGCTGAGATAATAAATTCTGATAGCAGCCAAGGAGGTGGATCGGAGCCAGGGCCAGACAAGAGGAGACCTGCGCGGCTCTGGAAAAAGGTGGGTAAATTACCTTTCTAACCCTAAATGGTGGTTTTCGAACAATAGTGTCAGGAATACACGTTTGTTCATGACCCTAATAATGCCCCTTTTAATTGGGTTTGTGAATTAATAAACTTCACAAACCCTTATGCAAAATATTTTACTAAGGCACCAGACATTTTAAAATGCTTTATGTAACAAAACTCTGCTAATCCTCTGATTATTAATAACATTACAAATACTATGTACAAATCTCTACTCCTAAATTGTAACTCTAATGTCCTCTTTATTTGGATCCGATATTACGTAATCTCATTTTTTAGGATTTGAAGTAGAGATTCAGTGCAGTTAGGTAGACTGGGTGAGTGATAAAGCATTAGAAATTCAGGCCTTTTTTTTTTTAATTTTAAGCTATAGTGCCTTAGAACCTAATCCGAGATAGACTCCAGCGTCAAACCTTCAACTTGCTGCATCCCACTTCACCTCCCGCAATGTCATCAATCGCTTCCTCAGTGAGTGTAAAATTCAATCAAATTCTTCTCATAGGAATGAATTGAATTCGATACTTTGAGCTACAAATGGTTCACATGAGTTTTACTTGGCTGTCTCTCAGGAAGAGCCTCTAGTGGTTGCCTGGAGGACGGCATCTAAAGGTGTGTTTAACCCTGCTGTAGCGGACCACGGGTCACCCCTGCGCTAATTCCTTCTCTTATTCACTCTGGAACTACACTGCTCAAAAAAAATAAAGGGAACATTTAAACAACACAATGTAACTCCAAGTCAATCACACTTCTGTGAAATCAAACTGTCCACTTAGGAAGCAACACTGAGTGACAATCAATTTCACATGCTGTTATCCAAATGGGATAGACAACAGGTGGAAATTATAGGCAATTAGCAAGACACCCCCAATAAAGGAGTGGTTCTGCAGGTGGTGACCACAGACCACTTCTCAGTTCCTATGCTTCCTGGCTGATGTTTTGGTCACTTTTGAATGCTGGCGGTGCTTTCACTCTAGTGGTAACATGAGACGGAGTCTACAACCCACACAAGTGGCTCAGGTAGTGCAGCTCATCCAGGATGGCACATCAATGTTCGCTGTTGCAAGAAGGTTTTGCTGTGTCCGTCAGTGTAGTGTCCAGAGCATGGAGGCGCTACCAGGAGACCGGCCAGTACATCAGGAGACCATAGTAGGGCAACAACCCAGCAGCAGGACCGCTGCCTCCGCCTTTGTGCAAGGAGGAACAGGAGGAGCACTGCCACAGCCCTGCAAAATGACCTCCAGCAGGCCACAAATGTGCATGTGTCTGCACAAAGGGTCAGAAACAGACTCCATGAGGGTGGTATGAGGCCCCGACGTCCACATGTGGAAGTTGTGCTTACAGCCCAACACCGTGCAGGACGTTTGGCATTTGCCAGAGAACACCAAGATTGGCAAATTCGCCACTGTCGCCCTGTGCTCTTCACAGATGAAAGCAGGTTCACACTGAGCACATGTGACAGACGTGACAGAGTCTGGAGGCGCCGTGGAGAACGTTCTGCTGCCTGCAACATTCTCCAGCATGACCGGTTTGGCAGTGCGTCAGTAATGGTGTGGGGTGGCATTTCTTTGGGGGGCCGCACAGCCCTCCATGTGCTCGCCAGAGGTAGCCTGACTACCATTAGGTACTGAGATGAGATCCTCAGACCCCTTGTGAGACCATATGCTGGTGCGGTTGGCCCTGGGTTCCTCCTAATGCAAGACAATGCTAGACCTCATGTGGCTGGAGTGTGTCAGCAGTTCCTGCAAGACGAAGGCATTGATGCTATGGACTGGCCTGCCCGTTCCATAGACCTGAATCCAATTGAGCACATCTGGGACATCATGTCTTGCTCCATCCACCAACACAACAGTGCACCACCGACTGTCCAGGAGTTGGCAGATGCTTTAGTCCAGGTCTGGGAGGAGAACCCTCAGGAGACCATCCGCCACCTCATCAGGAGCATGCACAGGCATTGTAGGAAGGTCATACAGGCACGTGGAGGCCACACACACTACTGAGCCTCATTTTTACTTGCTTTAAGGACATTACATCAAAGTTGAATCAGCCTGTAGTGTGTTTTTCCACTTTAATTTTGAGTGTGACTCCAAATCCAGACCTCCAAGGGTTGAAAAATTTGATTTCCATTTTTTAATTTTTGTGTGATTTTGTTGTCAACACATTCAACTATGTAAAGAACAAAGTATTTCAGAAGAATATTTAATTCATTCAGATCTAGGATGTGTTATTTTTGTGTTCCCTTTATTTTTTTGAGCAGTGTATTAAAACATGTAGACATCCATTCCCCCAGTAACCAGCCGAAACGTAGTCCTGGGAGTCAGCTGATTTTTATTGTGGCCATGCACAACTTATGGGGTCTCCAATACAATAAAACAGGGGTTTCAATCCCAAAATCCTCTGTCCCTGAGAGATAATTGCATGAGAAAAACCATAATCCAATTATCTCTCAGGTACAGAAAATCCATACAAAATATACAGTGCCCCCACCATAACAAGGGACCTCACAAAAAGTACATAGCCCCGATCGGAGT